ACAAGGTGAGGCAGAACATCATGGTGGAAGGGTGTGGCAGAGGAAAACAGCTGGGAATGTGGCACCAGGAAGCAGAGAAAGTGTCCACTCCCCCAAAGGCACTCCCCCAATGACCCTCCTCCCCTAGCCAAACCCTACCCACCTTCAGTCAGTACACAGCTAATCCCTATCAGGGGATTAATGCACTGATTAGGTTAACTCTCATAACCCAGTCATTTCACCTAAACTTTCTCACATATGTGAGCTTTTCAGGGACACTTAATATCTAAACCATAACAGGTATATTTTCTGGGAAAGCCTGAGTCTGGCTTTGTGGCCACTAACTTGGTATGTGATCTTGATCTCGCTGAGACTCAGTTTCCTCATCTGTAAAATTAGACATTGCAGGGTCTCAGATTTTGGACACTCTAAATAAGCACCAAGCCCAGTGCCTGGCATGTAGAAAGTGCTCAGTAAATCATAGTAGTTATTATTGTTAGTTAGTCTTAATTATACAAAGTCTAATTAAGTTGCCCATTTTAACTCTCGAGGATTTTTTTTTTTTAGTTGTTGATAGACCTTTATTTTATTTATTTATATGTGGTGCTGAGAATCAAACCCAGTGCCTCACACATGCCAGGGAAGTGCACTACCACTGAGCCTCAGCCCCAGCCCTGAACTCTCAAGGGTTTTGTGTTGCTCTTTTTGGTGCTGGGAAATGAACTCAGGGCCTTGTACCTGGTAAACACATGCTCTACCACTACACCCTAGCCCCAGGTATTTTATATTTTTCACTCAAGAACTCTTTACTGTAGATGGGAGTCCACTTACATTTATATGATGAACTCTGCTTGGGACCCAGAAAGACTTAGACAAGACAGTGTGTTTTACTTTGTCTCTTTATTCACAATTTTTATCCTTGTCCTTTTTTGCCAGGGGAGAAGGGAGGGTACCTGATTGAAAACCTACACAGACAGACACAGAATAAATCTTCCTTTTCCAAGGTTATCATTTCTATTTTTAATTTTTTGTTGTTCCCAAAGATTAAAAAAAACAAAAAGACAGAAGCTAAAATATGATATTAAAATTTTCAGTTGCCTTGGTCCCAAGAGTGACAACTGCAAGATGAGTGTTTGTCTTTCAGAGCTATGGTAATGTGGACTTCGTGCTCCTGAAAGTCTCTGCCCTGGGAGAATTTGATTACCTGGGCTTGTGGTGGGATCAGAGATCAGTTTTCTTACTGCCTTTTCAAGTCAGTTCAGAGTGCTCTGAGCCAGTCTCTTGTGAGCTGTAAGCAATATCCTGTCTTTGATTCTAGAGCTGCTGCCTCCTGCCTCCTGTCTAACTCCACACTCTGGGGCCTGGATCTCAAATTCAGGCCTCCTCTGCTTATAGAGCCCACCGTACCCTTTTCTGTCTGCATCTGTCTTCTCTCTGTTCACACCTCCCTCTCTACAAGTCCTGCTCCTGCCGTTTCAGGGCCTATTCTAGTGTCAACTCTCCCCCCTCCTTGGAGCCACACAATCTGTCCCCTTAAAAGTCAAGATGATGAGGGGTATGTTGCTTAACTCAACTTGAATGTTAGCTCAATGGATCTTGATCTACAACAGGGATCTTAACCTTGGCTGCACATTGGAATTGCCTGGGAAGCTTTAAAAACTCCTGATACCTGAAYCCCACCAGAGATTCTGCTTTCATTGTCTGATGTGAGGTCTAGTCACTGGACATTTTAAAGCCCTTCCAGGTGATTCAGTGTACAGCCAAGGTTGGGATCCACAGGTCTACAACCCAGCCAATTCTAAAACTGGAGCTGGACTCTAACAGTAGCTTTATTTGTTCCCCAAGTGACTTGTGTGCCACAGTGTTTAAAATAGTTCATGTGAATATATAAAACATCAAAGTGGTGCTTTTCCCCTTTGTGCTAGTTGGGTAGGTTTGGGGGAAGGAAACAGTAGAGCTCCTTTTTTGAAAATTAAATTCCTAGATTACCTCTTGGCTGCCTTGACAGGAATAGCAGCAACCACGTGCCTTTATTGAGCTCTCATTACTTCCTYGGCTCAGCATATGCATTATACCAGTGTAGTCCTCATAACAACCCGTGAGTGAGTCCTAATTTTGGCTTTATTTGATTAACAAAGACCCTGAGGTCCAGAGAGCACTGAACTGAACTTGAGCCCAGRTACATTAGCTGCCAAAACCTCTCTAATTCTGTATCCCTGGGGAAGAATGGTGTATCCAAATAGCTTCCTGGACAATAAGGATGAACTTGCTTAACTTTGGGGTTTCACATTTTTATTAAGAGGTAACCTCTTTATTTTTAAAATTTATTTATTTATTTGTTATTCCAATTTGTTATATATGACAGCAGAATACATTACAATTCATATTACACATACAGAGCACAATTTTTCATATCTCTGGTTGTATACAAAGTGTATTCACACCATTCGTGTCTTCATACACGTACTTAGGGTAATGATGTCCATCTCATTCCACCATCTTTTCTACYCCCATTCTTCTCCCTTCYCCTCCCACCCCTTTACCATATCTAGAATTCATCTAATCCTCCTATGTTCCCCCTCCCAAACCCACTATGAATCAGCATCCTTATATCAGAGAAAACATTTGGCATTTGGTTTTTTGGGATRGGCTAACTTCACTTAGCRTTATATTCTCCAACTCCATCTATTGACCTGCAAATACCATGATTTTAATCTCTTTTGTTGCTGAATAATATTCCATCATGTATATGTACCACAGTTTCTTTATCCATTCATCTACTGAAGGGCATCTAAGTTGGTTCTACAGTTTAGCTATTGTGAATTGGGGGTTGCACATTATTTAAATTGAGTTTCATTCTTTTGTTTATTAAGAGCTTCCATAAATCTGATKTCGTATTCACTCCCAAGTTGTCTGAGTGTAGCTGGGACTGGGAGGCTATTTAATAAATTGGATTTCTCCATGCACTCAGGAGGCTCTTTTAGAAAAGCATCTACTTGAAATACCTAACCTGTCCTTTCTTTTAGTCTTCTTTAAAAACTTTTTTGGCCTTGTTTGATTAATGAAGATCCTGTGGTCCAGAGAACACATCATTTTCAGGAGGTTCATAAGCAGCAATAACCCCATTTTGCAGAAGGGGAAACTGTTGTGCCAAAATATTAGTAACAACTGYTGCTAATTGGCTTTTAATAAGTACAGGCTCTGTGCCAAGCTCTTTATTATTATCCATATTTTACAGATGAGGAAACCAAAAATGAAAAAAGGTGAATGTACTGGCTCAGGGTGATATAGCCAATAATCAGGCACGAGATTTATTTGCTTATTTGTTTTTAACTTGCTAACCAGCAAAATTGCAAGACCTGGATTTCATATACAAGTGGGACATTTGAACAACATGTCTGAAACAGACTCTTGAAATGTAAACTGGATTTTTTTTATTGKGTGCCTAATGGCCATTTAGAAGTTATTGTGAAACAAAAAACTTTCTGCCAACCTTGWATATCATCCTGAGATTAAACAGGTTCTAAATACTCCTTTTGCAGTCATCTCAATGCCAGGCTGCTTTGGTGTGACAAGCCCCTGCAGGTGAGAACTGGTTCCTAGAGCATATCACACTCCATCCACCTCAGCTCTGGTGTTTCACGGTTGCAGATTSATGATGAAGATCCACTGTCTGCTCCTGGGTCTCCCCCAATCACAAAGACACTAAGGAGAAAAGCCCAGCTCCCCTTCTCACCATGATGAATATGCCAACTTATTCTTTCCATCTTAAGCATAAGACACACATGCGMAATTCTGTAAGGAGAACAACTCCGTGGAATAAAAAGGAAAGAGTCAGTGTGGAAAACAGATGGGGTCTCAGGGAAGATGAAGGGCCCGGCAACCTATGTCAAGGCAGAGGGTCATTAACTGAGTGCAACCCTTTTCTACAGTGTTGTTTATCCCCCTACAGGGCATACAAAACCATTGAAGATGATGACTTGAAGTTTCCCCTCATATATGGAGAAGGCAAGAAGGTAAGTGCCTGTGCTTCTCAGGATTGAGAGAAGCCWGTGTCCCCTTGTTGCTCTGCATGGCCTGTGGCAGCAGCTCGTCATTTTATAGCTTTCCCAGCTTGTAAGAATGCCACATCCATCATCCTTCAGGCCACCTGTCTTGAAGGTCCAAGAAGTGGCAGGATTATAGAAAAGGAGGTGGGTGGTAAATTCCAGGGATGAAAGTCAATTTTGTGAAAATAACGTCCCCCTTCCCAGTCCATTTGAGTAACTTTTTACAGTGTTGAAACATGACTACTTTCACATACATCATTTCATTTTATATCTGACAGCAGACTAGGAGGCACATCCATTTGCTAGAGGAGACAGCTGGGACTGTGAGGTTAAAACAGCTCAGGCAGAGCTGCACAGCCAGCCAGGGGCAGCTCCAGAAGTGAGCCATGGCTGTCTGTCCCCTTCTACCAGTTTCTTGCTCCACCATGGAAGCTGAGGCTCCACCTCAAAGCCTGACTATAATTAAGCTATAGCATCCCATCAACCAGAGCCCAACTGAGGTGGCGAACACTATCATYAGCTGGGCCCCAGTCAGAAGCCAGAGCTGAGTAGCACAGGGTTGAACCAAAAGAAGGACTGGAGATCTTCAGATGCTCTGTGAGCAGATATTGGAGGAGACTGAAGTCATGGAGGAAAGATGAGAAAGCTTTGAAGCCCAATTAGAATAAACGCCTTCTAAATCTTTGCTTTCTTCCTCTCAACACTAATACATTTCAGCTCAGYACTAAGTGTTCGAAATAGAAGTGAAATGTGGTCACATGAAGAAGAATCTTCAACTGAAATTTTTTGCAGCATTTGATAATGTTATCAAGAAAAGTGACTGACGAGAAAACCAAAGCACGCCTTCCTGCGCAGAACATTTGTGGGCTTTTTTGTTTGTTTGTTTGTGTGTGTGTCTGTGTGTGTGTGTGTCTGTGTGTGTGTGTGAAAGAGAGACAGCACACAGAAAAGTTTTCATTGGTGTAGCCCCTCCCTGATCCTAACGGAAGGAGGCATTTCATGAATGAAAGCAAAACATGAATATCTGACCCAGGTGGGGATCATTTTAAATGTGGCCTTCATTGACCATGTCTGGCTTAGAATCATGACAGGGCCCAGCTCTGTTCCTGCAAGAGTATGTGTTCTTCAGTACRATAGGTGCCATCAATGTGCCTCATGGTTCAGGTCAGTGACCTGCACTTGCTTCTGCAGCTCTTTGTGGGGCTGAGATTCCCAGCATTACCCTGCTTTCTCCAGTGAGTTCCAGTAAGACCGCATTCTGTTACCTTTATAGCCCTAGTGCCTGCCCAGCCTGGCCCCGACACATGGAAGACCTTCAATAAATGCCTAAGTATGAAGTTAAGTTGTGCAGTTCTGTTCAGTAAACTCTCAGTGCAGCAGAAAAATGGACTGATGTGTTCTTAGAAGGTTATCAGCAAGGAGATTTAAAGGGTCAAGAATTTCTTCCAGTTCAGGTCATGAAAACATCCTGTTTCTCAAGCATTTCAGTTAGTTAAGGCTTGACAGTCCTATGATGAGCAGCTGGCAAGTTSTGTCATTGTACCTGTCGGCCTGTTTAAAAGCTGATGTGGGCTGGGGGGTGTAGCTCAGTGGTAGGAGTGCTTGCAGAGAACATGCTCCATCCAGGCACTAAGATTGATCCCCAGCACTGCAAAGACAAACTTAAATAAATACAACTTAAGTAAATAAATGCAAGCCACTGTGTCTCCTCTTGACTTTTATTGGTGGCCTCTCCGTGACCCAAAGTAGTGCACCATCCCTGTCTGAGGCCTCCATGATTTCATGCAGTTCCCTCTAGAACATTCATGGGTTTTTTTCTCTCAATGCCTACTCCTACACAGGAGGCTCTGAGTGCTTTCACAGCTGTTACTTTTTATTTCCAGAAACACTATTAGGATTTGTGTGGGTAGCACCTGTATGCTTTGTAAACAAGTTCAGGAACTTGCAGGAACATAAGATTTCTTTGAACTAAAACACAGGCATGTGCTTTTTCCAGCCAGAGAAGCTGCCCTGGCAGGGAGAGATGCAAGGGCCACAGGGGACTCTGAATCTTCACAGTTCACATTGAACACCTCTTAGCTGGAAGGAAGTCTGTCCAGACTCCCAGCAGAGCAGAGGTTTCTGCAGCCTGACTGACCAGAGGTCCCCAAGCTTCACATGTCATGTTTGCATTTTGACTCTGGCCCTTAACCTTTCTACTCAGATACTTTCTGGTTTGAGACCAGCTCCAAAATGCACAGCCCTTTTGGAAAGCGAGGATGAAGGTGAAGACAAAGTATTGTATCAGACAATGGATTGTATTGATTCTTAGCCATTATTTACTTCATCGTACCCCTGTGAGGGTTCTTACTACCCAAGGACTAGAGGGAGGTTTCAAGCTCAGGTCTTTGTACCACGACATTACATGGAATATAGTATTGATCACCTAAGGGTTCGGCCACTGGGCTCCATTTCACCCAGTTCATTCTGACTTGCATTCCCTCTCCCTCTGAGTCTGCCTGTCTCGATGCTATCCAACCTTCAGCACGAAGCTTAGTGCTACCTCCTCCAGGGGACTTCTCAGCAGAATTTTTATCTCCTGTAAACTCACATAGTCTTCATTGTCCACATGTCCTTCAGTACTGGACCATATTTCCTATGTTATTAGTTAGACATTACCTCAACATGTTCCTTACCAAGCTCCTTTATAGAAGGATGAGGCCTTAGAAAATTGTGTCCCCTATCATTTAGTGGGTGCTCAGTAAATGTTTGGGTACATCACATCTATGGCATCTCAGGAGATAGTTAAGCTGACTGTATAGATATTAGAATACTAGTGTTGCTTCCTTAAAACATTTTTTTAAAACCCAGCAATTTGAAGAAAGCTTGAGTTCTCAGCCCAGAGGTCTCTGGGTAGCTACTGCACTAGTGAAATTTTATTCCTGTCCACCCAGAGGGAATTTGGAACACTGAAAGGATAGATCATAGAGTTGCTAAGAATTTACTTTTTCTAGTCATAAAGCCTAACAGTGAGCTTTGGGAGGACAGGAGGGTCCTCTGATGTTTTTGTTTGTTTGTTTGTTTGTTTGTTTGTTTTGCTAATACCTATCACACAGCTAGGGACAAACCTGGGGCTCAGCAAATACTTGTAGTGTGGATGTGTTACGGAAGGATGGATGGATGGATGGATGGATGGATGGATGGATGGATGGATGCTGTTGGGTTTGGTATGAACTGATTTCAGTAACTGCAGACATTACACATGGATTGGAGTTAGTTTATTGAGCACTCTTCTCTCCAGTCTCTACAAAAGAAAGCTGCAAAGAGACAACAGCAACTCAATAAGGTTAGGATAATTGGTAGAAAAACYATTCCTCAAATACAGAAGTGATTTTGTGGCACTATTCCTTGGTAACAACTACCCATATAAGTTAACAGCAAGGGACATGGAAAGATGGGCAGGAGTAATTGGACAATTTTTTTCATCATTCTTAGCCCATAGCCGCTGGTGTGTGATAAGATGTTTTCAYGTTGTATTTATTTCTGATGATCCTCTGTTTATACTCCTAGGCCCGGGTAATGGCAACTATTGGAGTGACCAGGGGACTTGGGGACCATGACCTGAAGGTGCATGACTCCAACATCTACATAAAACCATTCCTGTCTTCAGCTCCAGAGGTACCATTTGAGGTTTTTATTTGTATTTTGAACTATAAAATATTTTTTCATTTTTCCTTTCCTGACTCACCCCCCATGTCCAGACAGCAGCCAGCTCACATTGCGTGTGTTTCTCAGTGTCTCGCGTCACTCCATTCTCACTTTGACTACCCTGGTTCATTCCCTCATCACCTCCTGCCCAGAGAGCTGCACAGTCTCCCTCTCTGCCTCCTTCAGTCCATCCCACAGATTGCAATCAGGGGAATTTTCCCAGAGAACTCCTCTGACTCCTAATTGCTCAGAAACCTTCAATGTACCCCATTGGCTTGGAGAATCAAGCCAGACTCGTTCAGTTGGCGTGCAAGCCTTGTTGTAATTTTGGTCTAACTTTCTAATCTGATCTTTGTTCCCCTGCATCAGCCAAGTGAATTTGTTTCCTGTAAATAACCTTTAATTTTCCAACATTTGTTTAAAACGACTCCGTTTGCCATGACTGTCCTTCCTCCTGACCTCCAAATATACAGTTGTTTTTCTTTGTGGTTGAGCTCAGGTACTTCTCCTATGGGGGCTTTTCTGATTTTCCCCTACCTCAACCAGATGTAATGTCTTTGCCTACTCCTGACACACAGTGAGCTTTGCCCTGTGATGGCATTTTCACTTACTGCCTTACATCACAATTATTCAGGTATGCCATATCCTCTCGTTAGATTTTAATTACCTGGAGAACTTGCATCATTCAAACGCTGTTTAAAGAAGCTAAATCCAAAAACATATTAAACATACATGTGGTTTTTTAAAACTCAAGTTTCCTACAGGACTGGAAACCTTAACAGTTCAATGTTCACTTGCAGAATACATCAGTTAGAAAAGATTTTGCTTCCATGTTATAGAAAAATCTCTTAGTAATTTAGACATTGATCTTTTTTTTTACATAATAAGAAGGCTGGAATTTGATAGCTCCTAGTGCAGGTTCTGATTCTCAGCTGTGCCAGAGCTGGTATCCCTATAGTTTTCTGGTTTTTCTTTCATGGTTGCAGGGTGGTGGCAGCAACCCCAAGTATAACATTCTCATGAAAGACAGGAAGGAGAGGCAGCATCAATCCAGCACATTGACTTGCATCTCATTGGCCAGAACTGTGTCACATGACTTCTCCTAGGTTGTAAAAGGCAGGGGAGGGGGGTACTTTACCAGTTTCTGTAGTAGAGGAGAAAGGAGAAGGAGTGAGTTAGAAGGCCTTATAGTGAAATTGAGTAGTAAACCCAGGCCTCACACTGGAAATGCCAGAATGTTTAGATATACTCCACCTGTATGTTTTTTCTCAAGAATAGGTGCTGGGTTTTTGGTTTCATGGTTTGGTTGGTTGGTTTTTGATTGGCAGTTGAACATAGGACCTTGCAAGCTCTAACACTGACCTATGCCCCCAGCTTCTGATGCTGGCTTTGGGGAGGGAGGTTTGTTTTGTTTTTATATTTGGTTTTTAGATAGGGTCTTGCTATATTGCCCAGGTTGGCCTCAAACTCAGGATTGTTCTGTCTCAGCTGCCCAAGTAGATGAGATTAGAAGCACAAGTCACCAGGCCCCTGCTCTGTAGGTGCTCTTTTAATGAAGGCTCTTTTGACTGGAGGAAGCAAAAACCCACTCAAGCTAACACCAAAAGAAAAGGAGATACTTACTTAAATTATATTGGAAGAGACGCTCACAGTGTCTCCCAAAGGCATCTTTGAACATCCAGACTTTATGGAATCAGAGCGGCCCTGGAGAGTTACCATACCAGGAATCTGTCAGCCTTTGTGAGAGAGTTCTGCCATTAATGTGGCCAGCCACATTCCATATATCTCTGCTACCAATCAACCTATCTTCTCAGTCTCCCCAGTCCAGATTTCTAGAGCAGAGCCTACTTGGCCCAAATTACCTTTTATACAAGTCCACAGTTGTCTTCCCAGACCCTTCAGAGCATATGTCCACATCTATGGACACAAACAGCCATCTTGGCCCTAATGCCAGGTTTCTGTTCTGGCGACTGAAAGGCTCAGGGGTCACTCCAGTTAAACTGGGCTAATTGGGCTGCATGAAATAACCACACAAGACACACAAATACCTTTTTCTTTGGGGTCGCTGTGATGGCTCCTCTGACTTTAAGGGTCCGCAGAAAGAGAGAGACCGAGAGCACGTGCTGACCCCTTTTATTGAGGAGAAGCTATTCAAATGAGGCAAGGGGTCAGGTTTCAGGGCTGAGTCTATCTTCATGATGTCCACTGTCAGCAGGTTGACTGACACCTGGGTAGGCCACACCCAAGGGCACAGTAAGAGGAGGGGACACACACAAGGCACTTCCATGGAAGATTCTATCCTAAACAGGGCAAGGGGTAACATTACAAAGGAACAGGTGGAGCTGTAGGGGCTATAGCAAGACACACCCATGCACAGGACATGACCCTCGAACCCAAGAAGGGTGGAGAAAGCTCTGTCACATTTCTGTGGCTGAGCGCCTCAGCACCCAGCCGGGGATTGTGACTCAATCAGGTGTAAGGTTGGTCTCCCACAGCCTAACCCTTTGGCAGGGCTGTGAGCAGAATAGTTCCTTTAGAGTCCTTTAGAGCTTAAACTGGCATCTAAAACTCTTCTAGATACAGGGCCTAATAGGTCACTGACAGGGAAATCTCTAGTAAACATTGAACTTGGAAAAAACCAAACATTTCCTGCCATCACCCAGGATTTTAAATGAGGTCAGCTTGGTAGAAATAACCATTGCTCAAGAGCCTACAGATGTTCTCTTTGAAACCTCACAGCAATTGTGCATGGTCAGGACCATTACTATAAAATGGCCCCTAGAAGCTGGTGGGTTCCTGGTCTCTCCTGGACCACATCATGGATGTTGTTATCATGATTCTCTGCTAAAATGACTTCCCACCAGAAAAAAGGAATAAGAAGGGACCTCGAACTCTGTTTCTTTGAACTCTGCTGAGGATGGGGCTTGTAACTTGACTCAGATATTTCTATTTTTTCCCCTTGGATGAGAGGCATTTATCAGACATGTTAAATGGCACCTTCTCTTTCTACTTTCCAGAAGTATCTGGAGATCTCAGGAAACCCTAGTTAACCATTTTGCTTCTTAAAGCAGACTGAAAACCTCCTTTTCACTCCCCTCCCCATATACACATGTAAATACCTTTAATATAAGGTGAGAAGAAGCTCAATATGGTTTGAAGGAGAATCTCTATGTTGTTAGACCTCTTAATCACTGTGCTACTGTTGATTCCAGGAAAAGGTCTACTCTTTGAAAATCTACTCTTTTAGCAATTTTAAAACCTATAATACCTATAGTCACCAGTGCTGTGCAGCAGATTCCCTAAAATGTATTCTTCCTGTTTAACTGAGCCTTTTTACCCTTTGAACCTCTCCCTGCTACCCACCCAATATACTAAGGTTTGACAGTATCTCATTTAATCCTCATAATAGCCCTGTGAGCTCTTCTACTCATTTTACAGATTGGGAAATTAGAACTCAAGGAAATAAAATAACTCCCCCAAAGTTGCACAGTTATTAAGTAGCACTTAATAACAGTTATTAAGTAGTACTTGTACCTAGGTCTATCTAATGAGATCAAGGGTTGTAGGAGAGAGAGCCAAGTTCAAGGAAATTTCTATGGCCACAGTCCTAGTGACCCACCGGGTACTTGCTCAGAGGGCTCTATAGGGGGTACCTTTGTCTTGAACCTAAGAGAGCAGCTTTTTCTTGACACCTTGGAGGACAGACTTTCTCAAAGAAATACTATTGGCCTTGGACTGAAGTAATAGAGTAGAAGAGGTGACTGGGAAAGGCAGTAGTGTGTGTGTGTGTGTGTGTATGTGTGTGAGTATGCAAACCTAGGCCAGAAGAATTGTGCAAAATAAGATTGCGTACCTATAATTTAGCTTAATGGATATGTACTGTATATCCTAAGATTCTCTTACACGAGATTAAAATTGTTGTACATTTTAAATACTTCCAGATGGAGAGGGCTTAGCCAGAGCCAGGAAAGTGGGGAAGGGTGCCATTAGAAGGGGGGAGAGGAACAGCTTTGGTTGGCTACTATGGAAGAGAACCGAAAAAGGAAGATAGGTTTAGGGACCACTCCTCACCCCCATCCCCAAACACTGGGGCTAAAATACTCTTTGCCCAGGGGAAGAGTGATAAGATCATACCCAAGAGAAATGGCTGGGGCACTTTTGCTGGGCACCCAGAAAGCCAGGTTAACATGTTTAAATATCTCATGAAGACTGACTCCTCCCTGTATTCATTACTGCCCCCCTCCACCCCCACTTTCCAACTGTACTTCCTAAGAACATTCCCCTGCTAAGTTTTGTCTTTGCCAAGCATGGATCTTTATTTCACATTTGGTTCTAAATTTCAAACCTAGCTCAGTCTGGTAGTTTTAACGGTTGGGGCGGGGTGGGGGGGGGGGGGGGGGAAGAGTGAGGGTGAGGAAATGTGATTTAGTTCTAAGAAAAGGGGCTCAAAAATCTTCTTGGAAATTAGCATTGTTCCCATTCATCACTGTAGCTCTTAATTTGATTTGATGAGTTAAATATAAATAAATCAAAAACATGTGGGTCAAATTTATGTAAAAAATGCACAGGGGTTTAAAAATTAGAGAAGGGTTTCTAGCCAAACACATTTTCGGTTTCTCTGAACACAAGGCGCTGGAAAAATCTCCAGTTTGCCAAACCTGAAGAGCAGCCGCCAGGTTTGCTGAGTCTCCCTCAAACCTTCCGCTGGGGTAGAAGGCAAGGATTTCTGGCCAAGCCCTGAATTCCATAAGAGGCCCCGCCAAGGGAGCTGAGGCCTGCTGCTGGCTGTGGCTCCAAGTGCAGGGTAGGAGCCTTCTCACTCTGTTGACAGCACTGAGTTTTCTGTGTGTGGCAGCACAGGCTGCAGCCCCTGCCCTAGCAGAAAGAAAACCTCCCCAGCCAGGTCGCCATCTTCTTGCTGATGAAGCTCACTGAAACTTTTGTGCCATCCCTAAAAAAAGAGTTCAAGT